TGAAACACTTTAGTAGAATTACCACAGCACACAAAATTTAATCCCTCTCCTTTAAAAATAATCTAAGACCAGAATAGAGTAGACAAGTCCTGGCTCATTACAATAACAGATGCATAATCCAGGAATTCACAATCTGGTGGTAGATTCACTCTTTTTCAGCATCCTGTGCTTAGCACAATACTGTTGAGACACATTGAGCCTTGGCAGGTTTTAAATGCTCAGTAATGGGCATGCCTGTTCTTTTGTTAGCAGCACTGTGAATCATCTTGAGCATTATTGATTGGCATATTATCAAAAACATATTAAAATAATTTATTTCCCAGTGATTACATAACTCAAAGTAAGACACATTAATAGATTAGTATCATTTTCCCTTCATAGCTCTTCATCTAGATCAAGTACATAACAAGATATGAACATCTATAACTATGAAAATATAAACAAATAAATTGAAGCTTATCTTTATTGATTTAACTCAGGCCCTTCCAAGGACATAATTCATCTTGTATTTACGACGTATTCTGAAGTTTGAGAAAAACCTGTGTGTATTTATATCTCGTATAGCTGACATTCCAGTAACTAGAAACTTAGAGGATAAATATAAAACAATGTGGGGTTACCTACGCTGGTTGAACATTTAATGGTTTTTAAATTTTATTCAATGTAGATAATACAGATGGAAGTTTTTTGATACTCCTTTTAAACTATAAAGTTTTAAAACAGCAACTGAATGTATCTAACACAGTTATGACCTATTCTGTTCTGCAGTACTCCCATGCTCTGTTCTCTCTCTATCCATATGGCCTTCCATATGCTGTTCCCCTGCTCTCCCTTCTCTTTGCAAGGCAGCCCCACACTATCTTTCAGTCTCAGGCGAACCTTTTCCGACCTCCAGAGGTAGGTCCAATCTTCAGTCCTACATTTTTTCTGTATAAAGTACTTCTCCTTCCTGGTATTTGTCACGCTTGTGATTGTACTCTGTGTGTGTGTGAGAAAGAGACAAAGACAAAGACAGAGAGAGAAAGAACGAGAGAGAAAGAGAAAGAGAATGTCCTTCTCCTGGCTCTGCAAAGGTAGAAATTGGAATTATCTGTGCCAGAATCAGTGCTTATGAAATATATAACCCTAAGATACTGTTGAATGAAGAATACACTTTTTAAAAATAACAATGGCCAAGTCTTTTTACAGTGAGATACTAAATGGAAAGAAATGCCCTGAAACCAAATATAATCAACTTAATTGTTTTAATAGCCTTACCAGCTCCAACCCTAACCACTTAAAGCCACGCCACACCACCGCCTCTTCTTTCTCCTTTCTTATTTACCTTCCTCATCATTTTCATCATAATATTCTTATGGGTATATTCTATGTTTCAGGACTTAGGCACATGTTTCAGATTCACTGTTATTTAATCCTGACTATAACCCTCCAGGTATAGACCTATTAATTTTTTTTTTTTTAAACGGAGTCCCATTCTGTTGCCAGGCTGAAGTGCAGTGGTACAATCTCCGCTCACTGCAACCTCTGCTTACCGGGCTCAAGCAATTCTCCTGTCTCAGTCTCCCAAGTAGCTGGGACTACAGGCATGTGCCACCACGCCTGGCTAATTTTTGTATTTTTAGTAGAGTCAGTGTTTCACCACATTGGCCAGGATGGTCTCCATCCCCTGACCTAGCCTCCATCCACCTGCCTTGGCCCCCCAAAGTGCTGAGATTACAAGTGTGAGCCACTGCACCCGGCCCCTATCACATTTTACAGGTGAGAAAATTAAACTCCCAGAGGCTAAATAACTTCACCTATAGGAAGGTCTGCTTTTTTGAGCCTATCACCTCTTGTCCCAAACCTGCTCTTTCACACTTTGCACCTTAATGTTAAGCTAGGAGATTATAAACTTTTTTTTTTTGCCTTTCTATAGGTTCTGTCAGAACCAATCCACAAATTACTTATTATAAACTAAACCATGGAAATAACACACAATCATATGTGTTATGACAGGGTGCTATCTATACTTTTGTCAGCAACATTATTTTGAAGTCTCAAAACACAGATGCAGACATCACTCTCAAAGTTCATTGACTTATCCTGAAAAATGTCTATACAAATGCCCTTTTAAGTACCTAATTTAAGTATGTTCTTACAGGGAATTCCAGTTTAACAACACTTATTCAATATATGATTCAGATTAATTATGCCCAAGCCATTTGCAGCTTTTGATACTGTTTCCATTTCAGGAAGCAGAATATGGCATCAGTGTGGTCATTTAAAAAATGAGTTCCTAATATAGAAGATAAAAATATTCTGCCACAAATATCTATAGATATAATAAAACTTAATATTCTATAATGTGGATGTTGTATTTAGGCAACTCAAATTTCTTTTGCTGAAAATAAATAATTGAATACTAAAACATAAAAATATGAATATCTGTAGAACTCTTTATCATTTAAGACTTTAATGAAGTATTTTTGGAAAGAAGGAATTTAACATTTAGAGACTAACATTATTGGAAAGAAGGTGCTATGGAGGTAACTTAATCCTATTTCCTTGGTATGTATGTGAGGGATGGTCTCAGAAATTAAATAATTATGTTTTTTGATTAAATATTAAACTAGATCAGGCTTTATATTTATGACCACGCAAGTGATTTAGATGTGTAGGTATCTTCTCCAACCGACCATATCTTTGGTTTAATAGCACAACTTAGATTCTAGTTTCCTAAATCTTAACACATTGCTCCTTGAACAGCAACAATAGTCCATGGGTTCCTTAAATATTTCTGTGTGTGTGTGGAAATAAGCATACACTTTCTCCTGAACACTTGGCTTGCAAAAAAGACCAAATCCTTATTGCACACTGGAACTTCCCAGCTGCCTTTGAATTTTTCAAAAGATAACACAACAATGGAAATTTGTGGGTGATTTCCACAGATAACATCCCATTTTCATTTCATTACTGTGTCCTATGACACATTGCACAAAGGGAGCTATGTATCATTTCAAACATTTCTCATCTTTGGAAACAGAAAAAGAAATAATGTCATAACTCATAGGGGCATTATTAATGTACCTCTTTAGTTTTACATTTTGTAAAAGTAAATTCAGTTTGGCTTTTAATTTGTTTGAAGATCTCAAATGCAGTCATTGTTAATTTCTAAGTACTGAAGTCTCTGCATCTTGTTATGCTACAACTGCGCCTTTGACTTCAGCCAGCTTATAGCAGGGAAATGGCAATAGGCATTGTATTCTCTTTCTAAAGTTCTTCAAATGACGCAGCAGCAAGGAGGATCTTGTCTCTAGAATACTAAACAATAAACTGGTACAACCAACTCCCTATTACCACACACATGCATACTTACACACATCATCACAATCATATGGTCACACGGGAAGTAGTTGTTAGCTCAATCAAGTTTCTGCAGCTTACAGGCTCTTTGCTGTCTTTCGACAGTCACTAGTCTTAGATAAGAATGATCATATTTTCCCTTCCTTCAATCTGGAAATAATGCAAATAAACAAGGTATGGATAAAATTAATGTGCATTATTAAAGTCACAAAATGTGCTTTTCATCAATAATTAACATTTGGACCACAAAATAAAGTTCTTTTTGTAGATCACTTTAGTTTCATAATTTGAATCAAATAAATGTTATCAAGCTCACTTCCAAGATGGCCAAGTTTGAACTGTGATAGTTGGCATACTTATTTTAGTTGTGCTAAAATAAACTTGCCTTTCAAGTTACTGGAGTTAAATTGTTTCCTTGGATAGAGGCAGAAACACTGTGGGTCTTGCTACATGATGGAAAATAACACTGTCCTTTTGAAGCAGATTTACAGGCTTATTTGAATTGAAACAAACTTGACAATCAGTCAAATCAAACACAAGTTTTGTGTAGCTAAAGGGTCTGAAAGAGCTCTTCTCTCTCTAGCACTTTATTACTCTTCGTATATGCTAATTTTCATCCTAAAAGAAATCAAAAGCTAAGTATGGCAAGATGGTTTTTCACCATGTCAGGATTCCATTTCACTCCTTCCTTTTCTTTTTTGACACAAGTCTCACTCTGTTGACCAGACTGGAGTGCAATGGTGCGATCTTGACTTACTGCAACCTCCAGCTCCCAGGTTCAAGCAATTCTCCTGCCTCGGCCTCCCAAGTAGCTAGGATTACAGATATGCACCACCATCTCCTGCTAATTTTCATATTTTAGTAAATACTAAGTTTTGCCATGTTGGCCAAACTGGTCTCAAACTTCTGACCTTAGGGGATCCACCTACCTCAGCCCCCCAAAATGCTGGGATACAGGCATGAGCCACTGTGCTCAGCCACTCTCCTTCCTTTTTTTGTCTCATATAAGCAAGCTTTTAAAATTACCTATAGGTGATGATACCTCTTCTCCCAAAACCAGACAGACTATTCAAAGACAATAAAGAAAAAAAATGTTGTCTTACAATTGACTGTAGATGCAGTTTCTTAAGGTATTTATCAAAAAAGTGATAGACATGGTAGATTATAAAATATTTTTGTATTTCTCTTTGATATAGATGTACAATTATTGTTGATACACTCATCCTTCCCTTCTATATTGGTCCCACTGAATTCCACTACTACAATTAGGAATTCAATGTATTCTGAAGGTTTAGTCATTGTTACTTTAGTTATTAACTTTTTCAGGAAAAGATTTGTTGTGAATAGAACCTTCCCATAAAGGCCAAAAAATAATGAGTTCATTTCTGAATAAAAATTTTAGCTTAAATTTAGTTTGCTTTTATCTCATAGAAGACATTAGAATAAAAAATCATATTTTAAAATGCTGACCCATAATTATTATTTATAGTATTATGATAATCTTTTTAGTTAGTGGTTCTAACTCATCTTTCATATTTTCTTTATGTCCTTCTATAGGTTATCAAATAAAAAGAAATTGTTTAATTATAATTTTATTGTGAGAAAACTGGGTCTATGTTATTCTTTCTCAAAAATAATCACAAACTTCATTTCAACAGCCAAATCAATCAAGTGGAAGAAAGGATATCAGTGACTGAAGATCAACTCAATGAAATAAAGCTAGAAGGCAAGTTTAGGGAAAAAGAGTGAAAAGAAATGAACAAAGCCTTCAAGAAATAGGAGATTATGTGGTAAGACCAAATCTACATTTGATCAGTGTACCAAAGTGACAAGGAGAATGAAACCAAGTTGGAAAACACTCTTTAGGATATTATCCAGGAGAACTTCCCAACCTAGCAAGGCAGGCCAACATTCAAATTCAGAAAATACAGAGACCACCACAAAGATATTCCTCAAGAAGAGCAATCCCAAGGTACATAATCATAAGATTCACCAAGGTTGAAATGAAGGATAAAATGCTAAGGGCAGCCAGGAGAGAAAGGTCAGGTTGCCCATCTAACTAATAGCAAATCACTCAGCAGAAACCCTACAAGCCAGAAGACAGTGGGGGCCAATATTCAACATCCTTAAAGAAAAGAATTTTCAACTCAGAATTTTATATCCAGCCAAACTAAGCCTCATAAGCAGAGAAGAAATAAAATTGTTTACGAACAAGTAAATGCTGAGACATTTTGTCACCACCAGGCCTGCCTAACAAAAGCTCCTGAAGGAAGCACTAAACAGGAACAACCAGTACCCGCCACTGCAAAAAACATACCAAATTGTAAAGAATATCAATACTATGAATAAACTGCATCAACTAATGAGCAAAACAACCAGCTAGCATCAAAATGGCAGGATCACATTCACACACAACTATATTAACCTTAAATGGAAATGGGCTAAGTGCCCCAATCAAAAGACAAAGACTGACAAATTGGATAAAGATTCAAGATCCATTGGTGTTCTGTATCCAAGATACCTATCTCATGAGCAAAGACATGCAGAGGCTCAAAATAAAGGGATGGAGGAAGATTTGCCAAGCAAATGGAGAATGGAGAAAAAAAAGCATGGGTTGCATTCCTAGTCTCTGATAAAACAGACTTTAAATCAACAAAGATCAAAAGAGACAAAGAAGGCCATTACATAATGGCAAAGGGATTAATGCAACAAGAAGAGCTAACTATCCTAAATATATATGCACCCAATACAGGAGCACTCAGATACATAAAGCAAGCTCTAAATGACCTACAAAGAGACTTAGACTCCCACACATTAACTGTGGGAGACTTTAACACCCCACTGTCAATATTAGACAGATCAATGAGACAGAAAATTAAGAAGGATATCCAGGATTTGAACTTAGATCTGGACCAACTGGACCTAATAGACATCTACAGAACTCTCCACCCCAAATCAACAGAATATACATTCTTCGCAACACCACATCACACTTATTCTAAAATTGACCACATAATTGGAAGTAAAACACTCCTCAACAAATGGAAAAGAATGGAAATCATAGCAAACAGTCTCTCAGACCACTGTGCAATCAAATTAGAACCCAGGATTAAGAAACTCACTTAAAACAGTACAACTACATGGGAACTGAACAACCTGCTCCTGAATAACTACTGGATAATGAAATAAAGCAGAAATAAAGATGTTCTTCAAAACCAATGAGAACAAAGACACAATGTACAAGAATCTCTGGTACACATTTAAAGCAATGTCTAGAGGGAAATTTATACCACTAAATGCCCACAAGAGAAATGAAACATATAAAATCAATACCCTAACTTCATGATATAAAGAATTAGAGAGGCAAGATCAACAAATTCAAAAGCTAGGAGAAGACAAAAAATAACTAAGATCAGAGCAGAATTGAAGGAGATAGACACACAAAAAAACTTTCAAAAATCAATGTTGGAGCTGGTTTTTGAAAATATCAACAAATGATAGACCTCTAGCCAGACTAATAAAGAAGAAAAGAGAGAACCATCAAGTAGATGCAATAAAAAATGATAAGGGGGATATCACCACTGATTCCACAGAAACACAAACTACCATCAAATAATACAACAAACACTTCTATACAAATGAACCAATAAATCTAGGAGAAATGGATAAATTCCTGGACACTTACATCCTCCCAATACTAAACTAGGAAGAAGCTGAATCCCTGAATAGACCAACAACAAGTTCTGAAATTGAGGCAGCAATTAATAGCCTACCAACCAAAAAAAGTCCAGGACCAGATGGGTTCATAGCTGAATTCTACCAAAGGTACAAAGAGGAGCTGGTACCATTCCTTCTGAAACTATTCCAAACAATACAGAAAGAAGGAATCTTCCCTAACTTATTTTATGAGACAAATGTCATCCTGATATCAAAACCTGGCAGAGATACAACTACAAAGAAAATTTCAGGCCAATATCCATAAAAAACACTGATGCAAAAATCTTCAATAAGATACCAGCAAACAGAATCCAACAGCATATCAAAAAGCTTTTCAACCATGATCAAGTCAGCTTCATTCCTGGGATGGAAGGCTGTTACAACTCACACAAATCCATAAATGTAATCTACCACATAAACAGAAGCAAAGACAAAAACCACATAATTATATCAACAGATGCAGAGAAGGCCTTTGACAAATTTCAACAGCCCTTTATGCTAAAAACTGTCAATAAAGTAGGTATGGATGGAATGTATCTCAAATAATAAAAGCCATTTATGACAAGCCCACAGCCATTATCATACTGAATGGGCAAAAACTGGAAACATTTCCTTTGAAAACTGACACAAGGATGCCCTCTCTCACCACTTCTGTTCAACATAGTTCTGGCCAGGACAATCAGGCAAGAAAGAGAAGTAAAGGGTATTTAGTTAGAAAAAGAGGAAGTTAAATTGTCTCTATTTGCAGATGATGATTGTATATTTAGAATACCCCATCATCTCAGCCCAAAATCTCCTGAAACTGAGAGACATGATGAAAACACCAAAAGCAATGGCAACAAAAGCCAAAATAGACAAATGGGATCTAATTAAACTTAAGAGCTTCTGCACAGCAAAAGAAACATCATTATAGTGAACATGCAACCATAGAATGGGAAAAAATTTTTGCAATCTACCTATCTGACAAAGGGCTAATATCCAGAATCTACAAAGAACTTAAACAACTTTACAAGAAAAAAAAATCCCATCAAAATGTTGGTGAAGGATATGAACAGACACTTCTTTTAAAAAGACATTTATGCAGCCAACAAACATATGAAAAAATCTCATCATCACTGGTCATTAGGGAAATGCAAATCAAAACCACATTGAGATATCATCTCACGCCAATTAGAATGGCAATCATTAAAGAAATCAGGAAACCACAGATGCTGGAGAAGATGTGGAGAAATACGAAGACATTTACACTGTTGGTGGGAGTGTAAATTAGTTCAACCACTGTGGAGGACAGTGTGGCAATTCCTCAAGGACCTAGACCTACAAATACCATTTGACTCAGCAGTCCCATTACTGGACATATACCCTAAGTATTGTAAATCATTCTATCATAAAGACACATGCACACATTATGTTTATGCAGCACTGTAATAGCAACGACTTGGTTCTAACCCAAATGCCCATCAGTGAAAGGTTGGATAAAGAAAATGTGGCACATATACACCATGGAACACCACGTAGTCATCAAAATGGATGAGTTTGTGTCCTTTGCAGGGACATGGATAAAGCTGGAAACCATCATTCTCAGCAAGCTGACACAAGAACAGAAAACCAAACATGGCACGTTCTCACTCATAAGTGGGTGTTGAACAATGAGAATACATGGGCACAGGCAGGGGAACATCACACACCAGGGCCTATTGTGGGGTGGGGTCTAGGGGAGGGATAGCATTAAGAGAAATATCTAATGTAGAAGATGGGCTGATGGATGCAGGAAACCACCATGGCATATGTATACCTATGTAACAAACCTGTACATTCTGTACATGTACCCCAGAACTTAAAGTATAATGAAAATAAATTAATAGAGGAGGTTACTGTTCTATGTCACATGGCTGAAGCCCATGCCTAGTGCTCCTTGCATCAGTGAGCCTGCGGTTGATTTGGGATCCACTCAGCTTCTGGGGCCAGGAGGAAAGAACTCTCTTTGGTATCTGGCTCCCTAGTAAGCTACACACCTTTCTTAGGACCAAATTAGATTTGTTTCTGAAAAGACAAAGACATGAACATTTTTATTACACTGGAGGTTGTGCTCCTCCAACAAGTGATCTGCATACCCAAAACAAATATTTTGATATATGTACACTTTATTGTTGCACATCCTCAAAGCGATGTGGGATGAGTAGAACACACACAAATACCTGCCTCCCAAAACACACATTCATGCATCTACACACACAGAAATAGTATCACTTTCAGCTTCTAGGAATCAGCCGAGCAGGTAGAGAAGAACAAGGTATAGAGTCCAGACAACTGGGTGATTTTAAGATGCTGGTCACCTAATTGCAGCTCAGGAGGAGGGCTTCATGAGCAACAATTCTGCAGACAGTGGTTTGAACTTAGGACCTCTGAGGCTACACTCTCAGCTTTCCTAAGCAATGCTGTATTTTTCAAGAGGCTTTTGTGACAGGAGTTTAATTACTTAAGGACAGATATTCTATTTAGGCCACAGAGGATGACAATTCATTTTGCATATTTTAAATATGCTATCTAAGAATAAATATAGCTCAAATAAACATTTAAATCATCATTCCCTCTGGATGCATACTTTAAAACAAAATTTAAATATTGGTGGTTGTTGCTTTATCTGAAATTTAAAAAAAATCCTTAATCAATTAGAATCAGTTCCTACAAATAGAATTTTTAGCACCTATTCAAAAGATATTTGGGATAATTATAGCTGGTAATAACTCTTAGACACTAAAATCTCTAGGAAAGTAGACAACTTACAAGAGATTTTCTAGTATAATCCAACTACATGCATCCAGAATTAGAAGTCGCTGTCCTTCAAATGTTGGGAAATGAAAGAATCAGTGTAGTAAGTACAGAAAACTGTAAAAATGTGTTAGTTTACAGGATACAATTAGGAGTAAATGCCAGTAGCAAGAACCTTTACAGATACATTTTTCTGGAAATTCTAGCTCAGCTCTTGCCACTTATTCACCTTATGGCTTTAGGCAAGTCTCTCTTAATCTCGCTCAGCTTCAATTTCCTCAGGTGAAAAGTGATAATAATAAGGTCTAACTCATGAAGTTATGATAATTAAAACAAATTACACATTTTAAAGGTTTTTATAAACTGTAAATCCCCATGGAATTTTAAACTGGTTTATGGAAAAGGGCAAGAATTAAATGATCATGAAAGGCCCTGTAACTTGTCATAAAGTAGCCAGAAATACTTCCACGGAAAGCATAATTCCAACCTCTATATCAATATAGCAGAGAGTTTTTAGAATATACTATACCAAAGAGAAAATAATAAAGGTTTATGATGTGGAGATATATAAGCTCTATTTAAAAAATTATATAATTTGAAATAGGTAGTATTATGAATTACTCATGGGACTCAAAGTTAAAATAATATTTACAAGAATTCAGCAGAGAAATATGGTTCTTTCTAGATTTCTTTCCTTAAGCCCCCATAACTACTGACAGTCAACACATTTATTTGCAAATACAAAGATTTGCATTCATAGATCTCAGTACATTCTTGTTTCTGTACTGAAATAGATATTTGGCCTTCTATAACTTAAATTTTTTTGCAAAACCATATAAACCAGAAGCCAATATACAGTGTGAACAATAAACAAATCATTTACCGCATGTTTCCTGCTCTCTAAAATAAAATAACTGCTAGAAAATGAAAACAGTGTAATATCACTCTTTATTTTAGTTTGAGTTCTCCACAGAAACAGAACCAATAAAATATGAATATAGTTTATGGCATATATATACATGCACACACACAAGTAAAACAGCCAATTCCTTATAGTAAAATGTGTGTGTGTGTGTGTGTGTGTGTGTGTGTGTGTGTGTGAAGAGAGAGAGAAAACGAATAGAGATTTTCTGTAAGGAATTGGCTCACACAAGTATAAAGGCCAAGTCCAAGATTTGAAGTTGGCAAGGTGGGGAGCCACAAGAGCCAATAGTGTATTTCCAGTTCTAATCCACATGCCTGAAAACCCAGAGAGCTGATGTTTTCAGTCCCTGCCAAAGTCTGAGTGAAAAAGCAGAAGAAGATCAAAATTCAAACTTGAAGACTATCAGACAGAGAGAGAGAATTCTTATTCAGCCCTTTATCCTACTAAGGCCTTCTGGGGATTGGATTAGTCTCACTCACACTGGGGAGGGATCTGTCTTATTCAGTCTACCAACTCAAATATTAATTGCATTCAAAAACACCCTGAGAGACACACTCAGAAATAATGCTTAACCAAACATGTGGGTACCCCATGGTCTAGTCAAATTGGCACACAAAATTAACCATCATACTCCTCAATTTAATAGAAATATTCAATTGAATTTTGATGAATAGCTTTCATTTATCAAAGTTCATATTCCAAGATTAAACTTTAAAAATATTTAATATTGGAATATCATCTACTTAGAATAACTTTTTTAATTACAATGTTTGTGTAAGTCTACCTGACTGGTTGAAAAATTACACTTTTCTGTTTTCTGCGGTAAGCATTATGTAGTCAAAGCTCTGATTTTTGTATATAGTGTACAGCAGATGGTTTTCAAAAGCCCATTTGGCATTTTCTTCTCAGTTTCCTAATTACAGGATTATGCCAGGACAGAGCTGATTCCTTCCCTGTACCTGCAGATGTTCTCTTGGAATACCACTAAGGCAGGTCCTTCACATACCATATCAAATCTGCTAATGTTTGTTCTTTACCTTTAATGGCCTATAGGACTTTTGGTAGGCCAAGGTGGGAAGATCAGTTAAAGCTGGGAGTTTGATATCAATTTGGGCAACATTACAAGACCCTATCTTTATGAAAGGATACAAATGAGCACAGCCTGGTGAAATGTGCCTATGGTCTCAGCTACTAACGAGGTTATATGGCTCATGTTTGTCCTCTTTGTCTGGTCTATAGCCTTGGGACACCCAGATATCCTGCCTTCCCAGCCTTGACTCCATAGGAAAGCAGTGGAAAGAGGGAAGATATTGCTATGCCATTCTGCCATTCTTTCTCTAGTGACACAAGGATGGATCCAGAAACTCTGGACCTCAAAATAACCTGTGGTAATATGAGGAGATGAGAATCCAGCATCTGCATCTTACAGAGATCTCCAAACATAAAATGTGAAGGGGGAAAATAACAACAACAACAAAGTAAAGAATAAAATAACCTTTCTTCAATTGAAAAAAAAAAAAAAAGTCTTTCCACTAGTACTTTTTTTTTAACCTTTTCTCCAAAAAAAAAAAATCACTCTTTCCATTCTCATTTCTCATTTTTATCACTCTTAATTACATTACCAATTCATATAGGCCTATTTCTAGCCTTGATACAATTTGGAGGGCCTGGAACTATGCATGAAACTTATTTGGATGCCTTCTTTTCATCCATGAGTTGCCTCCATACTATTCTCCATCAAATGAATACAAGAGGCCAATTATGTTGATTCTGTATACTTATCCACAAAACTAGTGAACAATTAATGATAAATGGTAATCCTGCTATAAGCCTACTAAGGAAAAAGTGAAGTTAGGAGAAAAAAGTGGCCTGGGAATTTAAGTATTGTGGAAAAACCTACTCTTAATAAAGCACATTTCTACCATTCCAAAACTAATTTTGTTATAGGTAATTCAATTGCTCTTCAAATTACCTACTATAAAGGGCTCAGATAGATGCAGTCAGACAGCCAATATTTGGACCAGAGCTAGAACACTGATGTTCTACTTTAGGCTATCAAAAGATGAAGTGTGAGTGGATAGGCAAAAGCGTTAGTGTTAGTGAGTGTCACAGGTCAACAAAGTATTGATGAGGCTACTGGGAATTAGACAAAGAGGTAAGGGGTTGACAGGTCCCAGTCAATTTCCTGCAGGCTCGCCTTCTGTAAAATTCTGTGGAAAGCAGTCATTACCAAATGTTTGAGACAGTCAATCCTAGTAAATGTTGAAGTGGCAGTGCAGACCACAAGTTCTGTGGAGCTGCAACCACAAGTCTCAAACTCTATTCCCTTAATTATGCAAGCAGAAAGGCCCCAATGAATAAACGCTAAGTTGCAAAAAGGAGATGAAGACCAAGCTCTGGCACATCATACTGTTGTTATGACACAAGGCTTAGGCTCAAGGTTTTGAATGTGGCTGGAGAAGAGCTGGCACTTCTTCAGTTAGGTTGCTTAAAAACCCCACACTCAAAGGTCAGGATTCCTGTATCAGAATCCGTTGGTCAGCCTTGCTACATCTCTGCCACAGATTTTCATGAGCAACTGGGTAGCTGCAGCCACAATAAATATGTTCAAGGAGACATGGTCCTGCCATTTGTCCTTCTGGGTTCAACAGTTGTATTTTGTCTATTGTTGACAGAAGTATAAATTAGCACAAACAATTTTTATGTAAGATAATTTGGCATTATCTATCAAAGCAGTAATATTTTGACCTAGAATATCAACTTGTAGAAATTTACCTTATAGATATATTTATTTGCAAATATTTGCAAATGATATTGATACAAAGCATTTATAGCAGTACTTTTTTATATCAACAGACTATATAGAATCTAAACGCTCATTAAAAAGGGACTGGTTAAATATATAATATCACATCTGTACAACATAATTTTCTACATCAGTATGTAAAAAAATAAGAAAGGTTACTTAATATTGATATTAAATATAATAA